GTTAAATAAGTAAGAAATTCACCTTTCTGAGCACATTCAAAAGTTACCATGCGAGTTTCGTCACTTGGCGAACTGAACTGTCACTGCGTTCATAATTGGCGAACTGACAGCTTAGCGAATATGTTGCCGTTTTAAATCCATCGTCGCCGCGTTCCTTTATTTGCTTTGCAGTTTCATTTTCTAGATAATTTTGCTTAACTATCTCGCAGGCTTTGTCATCTGATTTTCTAATTTCGTCTGAAATTAAACGTCTTAAAGCTGTTCGTAGCACTGATTGGTAAATTAATAATGCGAGGAAATTCGGATGGTCCTGTTGCTGTAGCAAGTTAGTTTTTTTTCTTTCTCGTCATTCTTTTTTCGGCTTCATTTTGAAACTATTTTTGACTGACTCGAAAAGGATTCGGTGTGATTAACGTTCTCAAATTTATTCGTCGAAAATAAACAAACTTGGAATGTTGCGTTGCAATTGCATTCAGCTGGCACGGTCGTTTTCGTTTCTTACTATGCAATTGTATCGCTAAACGGATGGAAAATCTTAACGTTGTAAACAAATCTCTGAAATATTTGTTGCAAAATTTGTTACAAAAAAAAATTTCGTAGATATATTAGAAACGTATTTCGTAGTGATTGTTCCGATGATATTCGAATAGCAGAGGGACTATTTTAGACTCTACAAGCGCTGAATTGTCGAATTTGTCATCAAGAGGTGCTGGTGCTAAGGATACGCACAGTTATGTGGGATTCGCAAATTTTCCAAATCAGGTTTTCCGACGTGCTGTCAAAAACGGTTTTGAGTTCACGCTCATGGTTGTTGGTAGGTTTCTTCGTGAAGTTTTCTTGGTTTTTAATCCCTCCCTCCTAATCGTATGGGTTGATAGATAAGCATGGGAATTTCACAACGGTCTGGAATGGTAGTGCAGAACTAGTGGTTATGATATCCTATTTTTTATTTTGACTTGACGAAAGCTTTTGCGAATCAGGACAATCCGGTTTGGGCAAGTCGACATTCATAAACTCGCTATTCTCGACCGAAGTTAACAATCCTGCACCTCATCCGGAGAAAACGCTTGCGCCAACGACTCAAATCGAAGAGAAAACCGTCCGGCTGATAGAGAACGGTGTGGCGTTGAACCTGACTCTGGTGGATTGTCCAGGATTTGGCGATGCTATTGACAATAATAAATGGTTTGTCAGCCTTAAAATTGCTAGAGTTTCTCTGCATCATATTAGTAAACCGCTCTGTGAAAATCATGAAAGCACTCACGTCCACTGAGATTCTCATTGTGGAGTAGTGAATCTAATCATTTCATGAACAATGAAAAATCTCTGTGTTTAAGTTGGGAGCCAGTTGTGGATTTTGTGGAGCGAAAATACTTGGAGTATTTCTCAGAGGAGACGAAAATCGAACGATGTGCAATCATTCCAGACAAACGTGTTCACTTGTGTCTCTATTTCATAGCACCTACTGGACACGGGTAGGTCAACGAATTACCTAAATGCTCATTTTGCTGATACTTTCATATTTAGATCAATGAACTTTCACTGAATTCTTTCAGTTGCGAGCATTGGACGCTGGTGAAATGTAGTGCTCCTATTCTTCATTTTTACTTGTCTAACTTTATCGTAAAGAATGTTTTTGGAATGTTCGTGAAGCTGTCGAATCAGTTTCGTTGAATTGATCGTATTGTATATCTTTCAGATTGAAGCAATTGGATATTGAATTCATGAAACGTTTACATGAACGTGTAAACGTGATTCCAGTTATTGCGAAGGCTGATACGATGACTGCTGATGAGTTGATTAGATTCAAGGCACAGGTTCGGCAATCATGAAGAATTTTCTTTGAGATGAGGGGAATGGTTACCACCTGCGATTACCACCTATAGATTTCACTTTTGTCAGGAAATGAATGGCAAAACAAAATGAAAAATTGTATCATTCGAAAAATTGGCATTAAGTTTAGTTCCAGTATTAATATTCTGAAAATGTTGAACAGCTCAACAAGTTCAATGAACTCGCCAGATTATGTGCGTACAATTTAGATAACGAAGGAATTGAACGAAAACAACATCAAACTGTA